ATTCGGCATCCATCATCACCACTTCATTCACCTGAACCAGGTTTGACAAAATTCTTTAATGTAATTTTTTTTTTAAATTATTCATTTTATTTTAAGATGTTGTACATGAACTTCTTGGTCATGTTCCACTTCTATCGAATCCAAGTTTTGCTCAGTATGAATTTCTTATGGCTATAAATCATTTACATAAAAGTTTTTTTTTTAATTTTATTATAGATTTTCGCAAGATATTGGTTTAGCTTCGTTAGGTGTAAGTGATGATGATATTGTAAAACTTTCAACACTCTATTGGTTTACTGTTGAATTTGGCTTATGTCGTGAAAATGGACAGATTAAGGCTTATGGTGCAGGTTAGTTGTAATGAATCTTTTTTTTCCGTTTTTTTTGATAATTTTCCATTTTCTCCAAAGGTCTTCTTTCATCATTTGGTGAACTTCAACATGCATTATCATCAAAACCTGAAATCAAACTATTTGAACCAGAAACAACTGTTATACAAGAATATCAAGGTTTGAAAAATAGAATTTTCTATATCAAACAAATATTTTTTTTTTTGCTTTTTCTTCTTTTAGATGAAGATTATCAACCAATTTATTTCTTGGCTGAAACATTTGAAGATGCCAAAGAAAAATTACGTATTTATGCTAAATCATTAAAGCGTCCATATGAACTTGTCTATAATCCTTATACACAATCATTACGTATTCTTGATAATATTAAAGTTATTCATGATTTTAGTGCCGAACTTAAACTTGAAATGGATGTACTTGAGCATGCACTTGATCGTCTTCATACAAATGGTATTAATTTTAAAGTTGTTTCATAAAACAAAACATCTAATTATTTAATTAATTGAAAAACAAGAAAACTGAGAACAAAGTTTTTTTTTTCGTCTTTACAAAATAAAACAATTTAAATGAAATAAACGATAAATAAAATCAATATGATTATCAAATGATAATATAAAATACATCCAAATGATGACTATAGTTGCCATAATAGATGATAAATGTGGATTTGTTAAAGCTTCTTCAATAATAATTTCAATTGTATATGTTTCATTGATAAAATATTGTTCTTTGCGCATCGTTTATTGAACAAATATATTCAAATGCGCCAGAAAACAAAGATTTTTTTTTTTTCTCAGGCGTAAAATTCGTTCACACAATTTCTTATGTATATATGCGCGCGTGAAACGTTTCGAGATGAAAGGAGTATGTTTCTATCGACATTTGACTTGACACACATATACCGGTCGTTCGACTGATATCGACACCTCATAATGCACACGGGACGGCGAGTTTCAGAAGCAAGCGAGAATGACATATGGTGTTAAAAGTTACAAAAACCAATGAAATTTTTTTATTTTGCTCATCAGAACATAAAGTTGATGTATGATGTAAAAAAACAAAAAAAAAAGGAAAAGAATAAACGGTTAATCTTTGTCTTTCCAGATTTTATAATAAGCGCGTGTACGCTCTGATCGTCACAGTCAGTGTTCATCCCATCTCTAATTACCATCAAGGTTGAAGTGAAACATCTCTCTAATTGAACAAGTGCGCGTCCAAACACCTCAAACAGGTCAAAACTCAGTAGGTGGTCAACAATGATGACAATTTACATTTTTCTCTGTATTTTTTTACCGCATAGGTAAAGTTATTGATCCATGAATTTTTTTTCAGGGTGATGATAGTAGCTTTAGGCAGTGTTAGAAAAATAGGGTGTGGACATGTGAAAGGAGCAGCCATATATAAATGTTATACAATTAAAACTACGTTTTTTAGCACTATAATTGGATGATAGAAATAACTGAATATAAATCGTGAAAAATGAGATCATGCGTAATAGATCTTGAGAATGAAATTTATATTCTTTGATATTGAAAGATAATGTGTAAATATAACAATTGTATAAGTTTATTTGAGACAATAGAATCTATTCAATTCATCATCATCAAGATTTCCTTTTTATTTTTATTTTATTTATTAGAAGAATATTGATGTTGATGTGAATATATCTTTTCAAAATAAACCAAATGGTATCATCTCATTTCATTAACATAAACTATTTTTTTCTGAACAATTTTAATTTCACAGCCGCTATCATATTTGTACATACACATCCAGATTGGAGAGTTGTTACTACTGACTTAATGCAAATATTACCATTTTCAATCCAAACTAATATGTAATGTGATTGATGAATTAAAGAAAAATTATATGTTCAACATGATGACATTGAAACACTTTGACAATAATATGAACAGGACTTTACGAAATAAAAAATTTATTTTTCGGAATCCACGAACTCTTGATTTAATGGAACCATATGAAAAAAGTTTGTTTGTCATTAAGTGAATATTTTAATAATATTTAGTTGCGACTATCTTATGAACTATTGAATTATGTTTTTCATTTTTATTATGACAATAACTTTTTTTGTAATATAAAATTGTATTTATTTTTCTTCATGAAATACTGCTAAATAAAAAGTGTCGATCCAATGGGACTAAACTAACTAAACTTGTCTTCTTAATTTTGATGTAAATAGTTGATCAGAGAATATACAAACTCAGCAGGTGACTTGTATTGTCTATTTATCTATCTGTTGATACAGTCTGTCTACTAATAATCAATTTCGTTTTTTATTTCTACTCTATTCTTCGAAGGTGACAAACCGATCACAATTAGACTGCTTATACATGCAGTGCACAAAATGTAGAACGAGTATTAGTGAAAGATCAATCATTTGCCTCCTGCATTCCCAAAACGTAATCATAATAGCAATATTGAACATGCAGTGAACGCGATTGAGCGTAAAATAGATTCTATTTTAATTCGTTCGATTTGAGTTAATCTTTAATGTATCAATTCCAAACGAGTTCATATATTTGAAATAATGAAATCAACTATAGAAATATAATCTTTTCCAAAATTGATCTTCGCATTAGTGGTGAAGTTGAAAAAAATTTCTATGAGGGCACTAAATCTTCATTTGAAGCAGAAGAGCAGGTATTTTGTTTGCTTGTCATATATAGGGTCATCTTATTTCTAGAGGAAACTCAAAAGTTTCTGGAGGAATCTGAATTCCGTCCAGTCACTTATTGATTTCGCCGCTACTTCTTATTTTATGAATTAATGACTAAATTATATCTATTTCATTTCAATGTATATTTCATGTCTTTCTTACTATCAATATATCCATTTTGTCGCCGACATTATTTCGTTAATATGTATAAGCATTTGTCCAAGATTGAGAATTTTGATGATGAACAACATTGTCAAACATATTGTACACTATTTTTATTTCGTTTGAAATGTTTATAGTACGCGTGGACACAAGGTCATGAAATATCGTTTTTATTTTTATTTTCTTCTTTTGTAGCCCTGTGACATAATGAACGATTAAATTGACACATTTTTTAAACTTTCAAGGTTTTTTTCTTTAATACCCGACAGGATCAAAGCAATAAATCGTGTTAAAAACAGCAGCAATGGTAGCCGATCGAAGAAGAAAAAAGAAAAGAAAAGATAAAGATAGCTTAGAGCAGCAAGTAACTTGTTGATTCCAATTTTCAGCATCAGACATTTATCACAAACAAATCCGACATCAAAATTGATCGTTTTTTGATAAAATTAACTAATTCTTTTCTAAAAACTTTGTTCTTTTCATTAAACCAATCTAGATTTGATGATTCTCTTAGCACATTCGATTAATACTATACTCTAATTGATTAAATTTCGAAAATTGGTCTTAGCTCTTTACACTCACACATTTATTCGTGTCATTTTTCTTTTTCTTTTTAGCATAGAGGAGATCATATATATTTATATGTGTGTGTAACTTTTTTATTCGGATGTTGTACCTATTGAAAGAGCATCTATAATTAGGTGTAACCTAAAAATTATTTTCTAATTGTTGTGTGATGATTTTTATCTCAAATAGGTCGCATCAGATAGTCTAGTTAATGATGTCTGATCAAGCTATAAATAAATACAATGCCCTCCAACGTTTTTCTCATCGTTCTAAATATGATTCGTTTACGAAACTTTGTTGTGTATTTAACATCTGATTAAAAAAGAAAAAAAAATTAGTCCATATGCTTTTTCTTTAAATAGACAAGCATCATGCGCATTATTGCCATCAGGCTGTGATGTAATGCTGTCAAGTTAACTCATCTTTTTAATCTTGTTTTGCTTTTACTTTGAAAACACGCAACAGGTCAAATGTGTGGAAAAAACAAACTGACAATTGCTTAAAGAATAAAGAAAAAAGAATGATAGACAAGCCAATATAGATTACAATTAGTTGTGATTTTCAAAATGCTATTGACGAAAGAAAAAAAAATATATTCTTTTGTCTTTATGATTTTATTAGGATCTCTCGAGATCTTCAATTGTCATCTCAATTTGCATTTTTGATGTTTATTTTGTTAAAAGCAACATATGTATCGTATGGTTCACTTGTTCATTTGACACCTTATCAAACTAAAACGATAGACTCATTCCGCTATCTATTTCTCTCACGATCTCACTTATTCGTTTTTTTTTTCTTTTCCCTTTAATGAGCTCATCATTCGTTTTAAAATTTCTATTATATGACGTCCAATTTAGTTATACAACAGCTGATATAATTGAATATTAATTTAACGGATGATTAGATCAATAAGTACAATGTCGACAATCGCCTTAAATATAATAGGTAGCTGTTTGATTATGTCAACAAATAGAATCTTATAGAAATACCGAGCTCTAGATTGATATCATTGATTGAGATATGAATAATTCTCTTGCAATTGATTGGTAGATCATCGCATAACAAAAAGAAAAAAATAGAAAAGGAAAGAGAGGAGAAAAAAAAAGACGAAGCTGTTTTCCTCTTTTATTATCAAAACGGAAAATAGAAAAAAGAAAGAGTGTCTTTTTTATCAAGTTTTCTTGGTGTGGAAGAAGGGTGTGGTGACTTTGAGTTTGTGTGAAGAAAAATTTGTAAAAAAAAATTATCCTAAAGATTGTCATGCTTGACGACAATCATCTTTTTCAACGTGCTGCTTCATCAGCTTATGCATCCATGGCTGCATTTACTGCTGCAGCTAATATGTATAATTCATTTTATCCAACATCAACAAATACAAATATGGACCCAGTGAATTATTTTGGTTGTACTGGTAAACAAAAACTAATTTATTTAAAAAAGAAAAACAAAATAAATTTTATTTATCTTTTTTTAGATATGAAAAGAGAAAAACTTGATCCAAAAGTATGTGTTAAACTTGAAGAGATGGATTTATGGAAACGTTTTTATTCATTAGGAAATGAAATGATTATAACAAAGTAAAATAAAAAAACAAAAAAACAAAACGTTATAGTCTTTTTCATTAAATTTTTTTTTCAAAGCAGAACTGGCCGTCGTTTATTTCCAAATTTTCGTGTTTCTGTCAGTGAACTTGATCCAAATGCAAAATATATGTTTTTATTGGATATTGTCCCTATGGATGATAATCGATATAAATATCATGAATCTTCATGGACTATTTCTGGTAAAGCTGAACCACATATTTATGGACGGTAAGACTTCATTAATTTTTTTCATTAATATGACTTGTTTTAAATTGATAATTATTTAGATATTATGTTCACCCGGATAGTCCACAAATTGGTTCACAATGGATGAAACAATCAATTCTTTTTAATAAAGTTAAAGTAACAAATAGTCCAATGCAAAATCCTAATCATGTAAGAATTTATGAATGAAAATTAAATGAAAACAAAAATATCTTATCATTTTTTTTTTCTTGCTATTGTAAAGATTATTCTTAATTCAATGCATCGATATATTCCACGTTTACATATTGTTGAAGCATCGGATAGTTATTCAATGCGAACTGGTCCTTTAAGTACATTTATATTTGATGAAACTAGTTTCATTGCTGTTACGGCATATCAAAATGATCAAGTAAGTCTTATACAAAATTTCAATACATTTATATTTGTGTTATTTCTTAGATTACAAAATTAAAAATCAATAATAATCCATTTGCAAAAGGTTTTCGTGAACCAACACAAGGAAAAAAGTAAATATACATTCAAGAAAGAAAAAACTGATTAGTTTTCTTTTTTTGTTTATAGAAGTAATTCTAAACCATTAAAACGTCTTCAATCAAGTCTTCCATTGGATAAACCAGGAAAGTATGATGAAAATCTTCATCGTCCATATAAAAGTGATTCATCATTATTATCAATAAATTCAAGTTCACCACCAACACAATCAACAATGCATGCAGTTGTAGCTGATTCAACAACATCAACTTATTTAGATAATAGTGTTGGTGATCATGAACAAGACAGTGAAATAAATCCTATGAATTTTACAACATCATATAATCATCATCATCATCATCATCAATTTTCATCAAATTCATTTTACAGTAATTATGCCAGTGACCCATCATCAATGATTTACAATCCGGCTTATACATATATGGGAACACCATCAAATACAATACCATCAACATCAACTCCAATGCATTTTAATCCATATGGACGTTATCCAACATCAGTTTATCAAACAAATAATTACAATACATCATTTCTTTGACATAGAAATATTCTTCATGTGTTCGTTTTCTTTTTTTTTTTGTCTTGTGTATATTTATTCAATAAAAATCTAACAATCAATTTAAAATCATTTATTTAATAGAATTAAAATGTTAATGTGTCAATGCATATAAAATATAATACATTTAGGATATAGAGAAAAAAAAAACGTGAATAGTTAATTTTAATTTAGTAAATGGGATTTTCACACTATTTCGTTGTAATCTCTTGTGAATCAATGACATTATTAGAAACCAATACGAAAAAAATGTTTCTATTCTTTTTTCAATGTCTCTTCATGTCTCCTTCTCTCTATTCATAAACGATTATAGTCGCACATCATAAAAACGAAACGTATGCTTTTAGAGTAGTAATAGTCAAAATTGCAATAAATATAAAAGTCGATTGAAGAAAAAAAGAAGAATATTTAGTACATTTCAATTGTTCAGATACAAAACAGGAGAAATTTTTTTTTGATCAATTCTCTTTTCTTATTGGATGAATAAAATCATTGGACGAAAAAAAAAAGAAATTCTCTTTTTCTCTTTCTCTGTTGTTCTCGCTTGTTACAGCATCATGGCAATTGTTTTTGTCCTAAGCATAACCATACATATCACAAACGAATCAATTGAATTACATCATAAATGTTGTCCTACTTACAACCACAACTAGCATCTGAATCGATGCTTGCCATATGTTCAACATCTTCAGAGGAAGGAAACAAATCAACATATCCTAATGAAGAAGATACTGACGGATTTTTTAATCCAGCATCTACAGGAATAATTACAACATCGTCATCTTCACGTATACCATATTCTCATTCACATCATCATCATCGATCACCAGTATCATTTGTTTATGGACATACACCAACACCAGCATATGGATTTGGTTTTGGTTTTTATGACGATATGTCTCCGTTTGCTGGTATAAATTTAAATATAAAAAAGAAAAACAAAAAAGTTGAAAATCTTATTGTAATATTTATTTAGATACTACTCGATCACCATATACGTTTATTCATACAACAAAACGTGCTGATCCAAATATAGATATTAAACTCGAAAATATGGATTTATGGAAACGTTTTGCTGCACTTAATTTAGAAATGATTATTACGAAAAATGGAAGGTAAGCATATAAGTTTTCTACTTCT